GTAAGAACAACAAAAATAAATGCTGGCGAGGTTGTGGAGAAACTGAAACCCTTATTTACAGTTGGTGGGAGTGTAAAATGGTGCAACCACTCTGAAAGGCAGTATGATGCTTTCTCAAAAAGTTGCAAATAAAAATACCTTTGACCCAGCAATTCCACTACTGGGAATATACCCCAAAGAAACAATAACCGCCACCGAAGCAGATATATGCACACCCATCTTTATTGCAGCTTTGTTCATAATAGCAAAGAGCTGGAAACAACCTAAGTTCCCCTCAACAAACAAATGGATAGAGAAGCTGAGGTATATTCACACAAAAGAATACTATGCTGCATTGAAAAACAAGGAACTCATGCAATATTATTCAAAATAAGTGACCTTGGAGGACATTATGTGAAACGAAATATCTCAGTCACAAAAGGACAAATACTGCATAGTGCCACTGCTATAAAACGGGACTGACATCAGGGTGGCGGAAGAATGAGAAAGATGGGATTAAAGTATATATACTGCATTGAAACAGATGAGGGACAGAAGTTTAAAAGGGATGTGTGATTAGGTATTATTGTCATGACAGGAGTCCAGAATGAAGGCTGCATAGCAGAGTGGACTTGAGGGGAGGGATTGTATAACAATGAAAGAATTTTCCTTTTACTTTTACAAGAGGGTAGTATACTGGGGAGGAGGTGTGGGCAGGGAGAAAAGTGGAACAATGAATGAATGGAAATCCAAAGTCTGTAAATTTTCATTAAAATTAATAATAGTAATAAAATAAAATTTTTTAAAATTAAGTAATTAAAAAAATTCAGATGTCCAACAAACACATAAAGAAATATTCAAGATTATTAGCTATTACTATTATTAGCCATTGCTGTCCGGTCAGAACCAACTCACAGCTGACCCACCAGCAGATTTTTAGAGGCTGTAAATCACATAGGAGGAGACTGCCCAAGTTTCTTCTGCTGAGCAACTGGATTCAAATCTCCTACCTCTGGGTTAGCAATTCCTTACCCACTAGGCCACCAGAGAGAACTACAAATAAAAATTAGGTCTCTTACCGGGGAGTAAAGCCCAAAACCACAAAATTCATAATAGACAAATTGGGAGCAAATTTAGAAGGCCTAGTCTACAGTATAAAGAGACTGCCAAATACAGCCAGAAATGCACAATCTGGAGAGGATAAGATTGATGGGAAAACACATCTGGCATTATCATCTCAGACAAGTGACTCATAACAAAAGTGTACAGAATACTCCTGGACCTCAAGAAGAAAAAGAATGATAACACAGTAACAAAATGAGCAAAAGACATGGAAAGACCAACAGACACATGAAGAAATGTTCAAAATCACTGGCAGTAAGAGAGGTGGAAATCAAAACCACAATGAGATAGCATCTCGTCCCAATAGCAGTGGCAAAGTTGAGCAGGGCAGCAAGCAATAAATATTGAAGAGGTGGGAATGCTCATACACTGTTGGTGGGATTTTAAAATCATACAACCACTCTGGAAGGCTGTTTGGCATTTCCTCTAAAAGTTTAACATAGAAACTCTGTATGACTCAGCTATTCCACTACTAGGAATATTGTTTGTTGTTGTTATGTGCCGTCGAGTCGTTTGCGACTCATAGTGACCCTATGCACAACAGCCCTAAACCCTGCTCTGTCCTGCGCCAACCACACCGCCTCTGACACACCCATCCCGATTACCCCAGTCACCGAATCAATCCATCTCATAGAGGGTCTTTCCCTCCTGCGCTGTCCCTCCACCCTCCCAAGCATGATGTCCCTCTCCAAGGACCCGTCCCTCCTGGCAACATGTCCAAAGTATGTCAGGACGAAGCCCCATAATCCTTGCCTCCAAGGAGCAGCTTGGTTTAATCCTCTCCAAGATGAATCTGTTTGTTTTCCTGGCAGTCCATGGTACATTCAGTACTCTTCTCCAGCACCACAGCTCAAAGGCATCAACTCTCCTGTCCTCTCTAGTCATTGTCCAACTCTCTGATGCATAACAAGCGATTGCAAAGACCATGGCCTGTGTCAGGCACACCTTAGTCTCCAGAGAGACACCGTTGCTCTTGAGTACTTTAGAGAGGTCCCTAACAGCAGACTTTCCCATCACGATACGCTTTTTGATTTCCTGACTGCTGGTGCCAAGAGTGTTGACTGTGGAATATACCCCAAAGAAATTGGAACTGAAGACACAAATTGAGATTTGTACATCAATACTGCAGTGTTATTCACCATGGCAGGAACAGGGAAACAGCCCAAATGTTCAAATAACAACCAAATGGATTGAGAAATTGTAGTATGTTCACACAATGGAATACTATGCAACACTCAGGAGCAATGATATTTAAAAATACTGCGTAACTTGAGAGTCTGAAGAGTATTATGCTGAATGAACTAACACAGTCTCTCATAAGGACAAACAATGCCTAAAATCATTATTTTTAAAATAGAAGGATAACTAGTAAAACCTGTATGGAGATCAATGGAGGTAAGAGGTGGGCACAGAGGAGTGAGCATGGGTAGGGGCGAAACCAAAGGGGTGTACAATTTGGTGAATGGAGGGAGGGGGTGAGTGAAATGGGAAGGATTCAGTGGGAACCTGAAAACACAGGGCAATGATAGGCAAGGTCCAATGGTGATTAATTTTGTAAAACATAATGCATGAGAATGATTGTATGAAACACAATGTGAATGAAAAAAAATGTGAAACACTAAAAAAGAAAAAAAAAAGGTGTCTCTTTCATATCATCCTTGTCCTTGCAACCATAGCAAAGTTCAAAGATGCTAAATAACAATGTTGGCAAGGATGTGGAGAGACTGTAACTCTTACACTGCCAGTGGGAACAGAAAATGGTGCAAGCCGTAGGTAAACAGTTTGGAACTTCAAATATTGGAAATAGAAAAACATTTTAATCCAGCAATCTAGATCTGTGACACAAAATATTATATGCACATCCACATTCACTGCCCCTTTATATCAGCTATGCAAATATGCAGGATAGGGCAAGATTCAGGTCTCTTGTTCAAAGGATTGTTGTCACTGTTGACTTGATGGCATGTACAACAACAAAGTAAAGTTTACATATAGGTAGAATTACTTTTGGATAGTTACCAGCAGTTTAGAGGGGAGAGAAAGAGGGTTTTAAAAACTGATAAATTGAAATTAGACACATATTAAGATGGGTGGAGGAAAAGGAGACAGTCAACACAAATCAGTGAATAATGTGAAGGCACAGAAAGGTAGAGGAATATTAAAGAAAATAAAAATCACAGGGAGGAAGTGAGCTACAGCGTGATTTTTTGTTATCATAGAATAAAATGAGTATATGTGATTGATAAATTATTAACTTTTTGTAACTTTCAGTTACAAACCACAAGGAAAAAAACCTGAAAAACAAAAACACCGCGAAAATAAAGGAGTTAAGATGGTCCTAAGAAAAACGAAATGGGTCTTTTTGAACAGTAGGTGGAATGATTCACAAAAAAGGTAGACATTGCATACAGGTGCAAAGCAATTAAAAGTGTTGTAAACATCTATTAATACTTTATACTAAGCAGAAAGGGCAGTCAGTACTTTTCTTTCATTGTTCAGTTTTCAATTTCTGAAACAACTTTCCAGAAAGGCAAAAAGTACGTTGTACTGAGTTCGTCTCCCTGCGAAGCCTTCCAAAGGTCCCCTGCCTTTCTCTCTCAATCTCATTCTCTACTAAGTTGTTCAAGAACGGACCTAAAACCAGAGGTCACTATTGTGGTTTGACTGGGAAACCTTTTCAGGACGGCTACTGCTTCCCCGCACGTACAACGCCCACGCAGGCATCCTCAGACACGTTTTCACCATCTCTGAGACGATTCTCCGAGCCAGAAAACTCCCGCCTTCCCTCACTGTGCAGGCCGGTGGCGGCCAGGCTTTTCCCGCCGTGGCCGCAGATCCCCGCCGGCCTTTCTGCTCTCCACCGGCCTTCCTTCCACTCACTCACTGGCTCACTAGCGCCCGGGCCGAGCCAAGCCGCTCCCCACCCGCCTTCTCCTGGTTTTGAAGGACAGCAGGCCACAACACCCGGCAGCAGCGCGACCCCCAGTCAGCCGGCCTCTACCCGCTGTCCTCCCACCCTGCGAGTCCGCCGCAAGCCTTTCTCTCCGGACGCTTTGCGTCATGGTGGGCCCCAGCAAGATTCGTCTCCGTCCCCGTCGATGCTGCGAGGGCGAGTCAGACGAACACTCCCTCCCGGGGTGTGGGTCTCCGGTGCGTCCCTCAAACTCAAGGCCTAGGTGGGGGTCTGAGGCAAAGAGGGGTCGGTCTCCCGCCTCAAACCAAGGAGTAGAGGGCAGCTGTGACTCTTACCACAAATACGGCCTCAGGAATCCCCAGATGGAGTCGCCGCCCGTTCCCTGGGGCCACTTCTCCAAAGGTGCAAGCATCCTTAGCGACCGCCATCTTCGTGAAGGGCGTGTATCCAGACGTTCCACTACCTGCCCCCCAAGCCGCCAGCTCACCAGAATAGTGATTGGGTCTCCCGTCCCTGCAAGCCCGCCCCCTCTTGGTGAATTGGCTTAATCATTGGTGTAGGAGAAAGAGACTCTTCTCTGATTCGCCCAATCTCTGGGTGCTGATTGGCCTCCCTCAGAGTGACAAGGACGCACCTACTGAGAAGATAAAGCGGAAAGGGCCAATAGGCACTCATGATAAAAGCTGTCCCATGTGTTTTAGATGGCCCTGGAATGTCCCGGAATTCAGAAACCAACCAGGACTCCACCCCAAAGAAGAGCAAACAAATAACTGAAAGACATTGAAAGGTATCCTGAGTGATCCCAATCCCTATCTCCTCTTAGACACAAACATCTAGACACCCTTGGAGTTAAGGCCTCTGAGCCTTGACAGCTTCACCAAGGGGACTTGGTTTGTATCTTATGCAGTCCATTCTAATGATTTATCAGAAGGCTAATTGCACTTCTTAAGCTGAAGAAACTGAAGAACAAATTCAAGCCTCAAGTTGCTATACTTAAGGATGCTTTGGACAGAATATTAAATAATACAGGAAGCATTAAAAGAAGATAGAAAGAGTATACAGAGTCATTGTACTAAAAGTAATTCGTGGACACAGAATAACTTCATGAAACACCGTATGAGCAAGAACCTGTGGTGATGAAGGAAGAAGTTCAAGCTGCTCTGAAAAAAATGGCATAAAACAAGGCACCAGGAATCGACAGCATATTTCAACAAACAAACCTGGATGATGTGGTCACCTGCCCTTGATGTGGTCTCCAAGTTGTGCCAAGAAATCTGGAGGACAACCACCAGGCAAACTGATTGGAAGAGATCCCTATTTGTTCCCATTCCAAAGAAGGGTGGCCCAACAAAGTGTGGAAATTATCAAACAATATCATTAATATCACATGCAAACCAGATTCTGCTGAAAAATTACTAGAACAGCATATCAACAGAGAACTGCCAAAAGTCCTGGCTAGGTTTAGAAGAGGCCCTGGTAGGTACTAGGAATATTACAGCTAATGTCAGATGGATCTTGACTGAAACCAGACAGTTCCGGAGGAATGTCTACCTGCGTTTCATTGACTAAGCAAAGGTGTTTGACCGTGAGGATCACAACAAATTGTGCCTGACTCTGAGAAGAACGGGAATCTCAGAACACTTGATCGTGCTTATGTGAAACCTGTATTTGGCCAAGGAGGCAGTCATTAGAACAGAGCAAGAAAACACTGCATGGTTCAAAATTAGGAAGGGTGTGCACCAGGGATGTGTCTTATCTCCATACCTTTTCAATCTATATGCAAAACAGATTATCTGGGAGGCAAAATGTGGCATCTGGATTGGAGGAAGACTCGTCAATAATCTACATTATGCAGATGGCACAACCTTGTTTGCTGAAACTGAGGAGGACCTGAAGCGCTTGCTGCAGAAGGTCAAGAACTGCAGCCTTCAATATGGATTGAAGCTCAACATCAAGAAAACAAAGATTCTCACCACTGGGCTGATTGGCAGCATCATGTTAGATGAAGAGATTGAGACTGTTAACAGCTTTAGTTTGCTTGGCTCTACAATCAACACTCTTGGCACCAGCAGCCAGGAAATGAAAAGATGGATTGCATTGGGAAAGTCTGCCATTAGGGATCTCTCTAAAGCACTGAAGAGCAACAATATCAGTCTGGAGACTAAGGTACACCTGATTCAGGCCATGATCGTTGTTGTTCTGTGCCATCGAGTTGCCTGCAACTCATCGTGATCCTATGTACAACAGCTCTGAACCCTGCTCTGTCCTGATCCAACCTCAACTGTCTCCAACACACGTACCCCCATTACTCCTGTCACTGAGTCAATGCATTTCATCAAGGGTCTAGTCTTTGCAATTATTTGCTATGCATCAGAAAGCTAGACAATGACTAGGGATGACAGAAGGAGAATTGATGCCTTTAAGAGCTGTGGTGTTGGAGAGGAGTGTTGAATATACCAAGAACTACTAGGAGAACAGTTTTGTCCTACAGAGTAGGTGAGACCAGGCTGCTCATTGGAGGCAAGGATTCTGAAGCTTCATTTGACAATACTTTGGAGATGTTGCAAGGAGGGACCAGTCCTTGGAGAGGAACATCAGGCTTGGGAGGATGAAGGGACAGCACAGAAGAGGAAGACCCTTGATGAGATGGATTGAGTCAGTGACTGGGGTAATGGGGGTAGATGTCCCAGGGACAATAAGATTGGCACAGGATAGAGCAGGGTTTGGGGCTGTTGTACATAGGCTCACTATGAGTTGAAGGCAACTCGATGGCACATAACAACATTCATGCCTTTGAGTTGTGGTATTTAAGAAGAGTGCTTAATATCTCATGTTGTTCTTGACTGTTGTCGAGTTGAGCATAATTCATAATGACCCTATGAACAAAAGGCCTGAAGCCTTTCTATAACTATTGACATTTCTCCAATTTCATAGAGTTTTCAGAGGCATGTGATTTAGGAAGTGAATGCCACTCCTGCTTCCAAACCTGTCTTAAACTGGGATCTCCATCAAACACTGTTCACTATAGGCAGCCATTATGGCATTTGACCACCCAATGGCACAAGGTTTAGCATCACAGCAAACCCAGATTAGCTCGGTGCAGCAAATTGACAGAGGAGTGCTGTACAATTTAGAAGGTTTCTACAAAATAAAATAACACTAGACCCTCAGATCCAACTGACTTTTAAATAAAAGGGCTCCACCAAACACTGCCCATGATAGGTAGCAATTATGGGGTTTGACACACCTATGACACAGTTGTTCCATTATGGCATTTGAGACCCCAATAGCACGAGGCTCAGTGTCACAGCAAACCTAGATTATCTCTGGACAGCAAATTGACCAGAGTGCTGTATAACTTAGAAGAATGTTCCTCCAAAACATAGTAACAAGGGATTAAAATATAATCCCTCGGGCCCAACTGTTAAATATAAGGGCACTCCAGGAGGTCTTGTGTTGACTCTAAACAAGAGGCTTAAATAAAAAACAACCAAACATTGCACATCAACCCTCAATCAAAACAAGAGAGTCCACCTTATAGAGTCCAGCTGCTTCACTCAGTCTCCAAAAGGGAGACAAGGGCTTGGCCTTAAATGTAAGTGCCCTCCAGGTGGTCTTGTTGACTCTAAACAGGAAGCTTAAAAAAAAACAACCACACAACCCTCACAGATCCTCAAGCAAAACAAGCGCACCATTTTACAGAGTTCAGCCACTTCACCCAACTCCAAAGTGAAGACAAGGTCCTGGCATTGTATTTTGTTATTGTTAAAGTGTCATTGAGTAGCAACCCTATAAACAAAAGACCTTAACCCTGTTCTATAATTATTGTCCTTTCTCTAAGTTCATAGTTTCCACAGATATGTTTAAGAAGTAGATACCACTCCTGCTTCCAAGTCTGTGTTAACCGGTGAGCTCTACCAAACATTGTCAACCATGTGTAACCATTGTGGCATTTGACGTACCACTGGCACACCATTGAGTATCACAATAACCTCAAGGTATCAGTGAAATGACAGAACAATTAAAACCAGGCTGGAGGGCCCAAATAAATGTTATAAAACCCCAGCCCATGCACCAGTCTTTCATTGGCTCCAACAAGAGGCTTCCCGCCCACACTTCACCACTAACCAACCAGGCCAGAGCCAACCTCCATCCATAGACCATATCCCATAGACCACCAAAAGGACAAACAGAAATATCTTGGGAAAGGTGTAGCCAGAGTGCTCCTTGGAGCCGAAGATAGTGAAAACTGTCTCACATACTTTTGGCATGTTGTTATGAGGAACTAGTCCTTGGAAAAGCACATTATGCTTGGAAAGGTGGAGGGGTCAGCCTAAGAGAGGAGGATCCCCAATGAGATGGATTGACATGGTAATTTTAACAGTGGTCTTGAATGTGTCATAGATGATGAGGATGACACAGGATAGGATAGAGTTCAGACCCATTGTTCATAGGGTCTCTGGAGTCAAGATGTTGTTGACTTGATGGCACCTAACAACAAACCATTTCAAGAAATAGTATATGATCAAGGGCCAGTGGTACTGCAGGAAAAGTTCAAGCATTGACAGTAAGACTCCAGGAATCGACATAACACCAATTGAGGTGTTTCAACAGATGCAGCCATGAATATGATCACTAGGTTCTGCCAAGAAATTTGGAAGCCAGCTGCCTTGCCAACCAACTGCAACATAGTCCTATTTGTTTCTATCCCATAAAATACGTTATTCAATAGAGTGTGGAAAATAATAATTGTATCATTATCTCAGGCAAGTTAAAGCTTACTGGAGGTTACTCACACATGACTTGAGCAAATACATTTACAGGGAACTTCCAGAAATTCAAGCTGGACTCAGAAGAGGTCGTAGTAAGAGGGACATCACTACTGATGTCCCATGAATCCTAGATGATCCTAGGAAATACCAGAAAGGTATTTACTTGTGTTTCACTTACAATGCAAAGACATTCACCTGTGTTGATTATAATAAAATATAGGTAGCATTGAGGAGAAAAGGAATTCCAGAGCTATTAACTATGCTCATTTGAAATCTGTACATAGACCAAGAAGCAATTATTAGAACAGAACAAGGAAACACTGCATGGTGTAAAATCAGAGAAGGTTTGTGTCAGAGTTATATATATTCTTTCTTCATACCTATTCAACCTGTATATTGAACAAATCATTCAAGAAGAATATATGAAAAAATGTGGTATCACAATGGGAGGACGAATACTCAACAACCTGTGTTATGCAGATGATACAACCTTGCTTGCAGAAAGTGAAGACAACGAAGTACTCACTGAAGAAAATTAAAGACAACAGATTTCTGTATGTTGTTATGTGTCATTGAGTCGCCTGTGACCCACAGCAACCCTATGTACAGCAGCTCTGAACCCTGCCTGCTCATACTCAATATCAAGAAAATAAGTCTTCACCAC